TGACGACTAGCGCCTTGAAGCGTATCCGGAGACCAATAGGCAGCCAGTGCAGCTCGTGGAGGATAGGTGTTACGTGGGCTTTTCTCTGTATATTGCTCAGCGCACTCAGTGTGGTGACTGATTGTTTATGTGTTTATTCCCTTTCTATGCCATCACACTCAAAAGACTGAATGGTACAAAGTTCAACATATGCAGGAAATAGAAAAAGCCACCCCGGGATCAGCAATCAATAAACAATGGACAGAAATACAGCAAAATTTATTCTAAAAGAGCCAGAGCAACATATTTCATAGGATAGCATCATTGCATAAGTTCTTAAAGTGTGTGTGTGTGTGTGTGTTGAATTTAGGATAGCTAGTTCATTCAGTGTTCTCGAATGGGAATTCAAATGTGTAAGAATCCTTTCAAGACATTTCCAGGATCCACCCAGGCAGGAGCAACAGGGATCCCTAGCAGTGCTGTCCTTTATGCTCTGCATAAAGGATTTGTGCCTCTTTTCTCTTCCTTTTAAGGAACATCAGAAGTCGCAGCGGCGGAAATTCGTGGTAAAAAAGAAGCCGCCATCTCCAAAAGCTCCTAGTCCAGAACCGGAGCCAGAGCCAGAACCAGAGCCAGAGCCAGAGCCAGAACTGATAGAAGCAGAAGTGGAGCCAGATGTGCCGCCACCACCCCCTGTCCCCCAGGAACCAGATCCTGAGCTGGAGGCCCCTGTGCCCACCCCTCCTCCGGAAACAAAACAGGAGCAGTTTGCTGGCAGCCTGGTGGATCATGAATACACTGCTCGGCCTAATGTCTTTGGAATGGCCCAGGTGAACCGGGGCTCCACGCCTATGGCCCCAGGGGTCTTCTTGTCCCAGCGGCGCCCCTCAGCTGGCTCACCAGGTCCTCAAGCAGCACAGGGTAAGCTTGGACTTCAAAAGGGAAGGGCCAATCCTATTAACATTGTTTAAAGAAGAGTTCTAATTGTCTAGGATCTGCCATAAGGTGTTCTTGCCGATGGAAGAGAGGGATAGTGGAAGAATATGGCTTGGACTAGTCATTCATAGGATGCATTCTGGGCAATCAAATACTGAACACTCTTAGTGGTATTATCTATTACCAGCTGTGTTGCATTCAAAGGAAGTTATCAGTTCAAATAATACCTCACCTTGAATATCTCACATGGGATAATACTAGTGCATTGGGTAGCACTTTTGAAGTTGTCATTAATTATATAGCATTGTGAACATTCTGGACTTCCTTATAAGAATAAAGTACTGTCTGAGTAAGGAAACCGAGGCAGGTGTGAATTGAGGCAGGTAGGAACCCCTGGATCCTGGCAAGATCCAGACACATTCTGTGTGATCCATAATATCACACAGATGAGGTTCATGGTTCCCCACTCTGCTGACTGTTGTGAGAGAAAATTAAATTCTTGTTCCCTTGTGGGGGGATTTCTGGCTCCCAAGTGGAAAGCAAGCAGATGAAAGAAACAAGATGCCATTTTTAATGTTCGTCTTAGATTCATTCTGTAGCTGGAGAAAACTTGGTGAGTTTCTTTCACATCAGCAGAGACTTTCTTCCGAAGGGAAATAAACTGGTTTTATGACTCAAGTAAATCTCTATACTTTTTTTTATTAAAAGTTTTTTATTTTTAATTTTCAAAACAGACACAACACAAAAAAATCCTCTTTCTTTACATACTGTAGAAAGTGTATCAGTTGGTTACAAAAAAATTTCGTGCGTTTCTTTCACAGACACCCATGATTCATATTAATTCTAGTATTTTAAATCAAATAAATTTGTTCATATTACCTTCATCCTACCCCCATTCTAGTTTGACTATAATTGTTTAAATGTCCTTCATCATAAAACATACCAAAACTCAATGCTGGCATCTCATTTGCTATTTCTAGTATTCCAATAACACTATTCCTTATGGCCTATTCTAGCTAAACATCAATAATATTTAGTAAGCTTACTGAATAATATTAAGGGTGAAATTCAGCAGATCCTGACAGGTTCTGGAGAACTGGTAGTGGAAATTTTGAGTAGTTTATAGAAATGGCAAATGCCACCTCTGGCTGGCCCCAGAGTGGGGAGGGAATGGGGATTTTGCAATATCCTTCCCCTGCCATGCCCACAGAACCGGTATTTAAAAAAATTGAATTTCACCACTGGTATTATTGTGTTTATTAAGCTTTGTGTATTGTTCAAATGTTTATCATGTTGATTACCCATATTTTTCGGAGTATGATGCACCAAGGTTTTGAAGAGGCAAATTAAAAAAAAAGTTTTTGCACTCTGCAAACCTCCCAAAAATGGCCCGTTTTTCGCAAAAATGGGCCTGTTTATTTTGCAATAGCAATAGCAGTA